AGATGGAGGAGGAGGAGGGAGAGGAGGAGGAGGAAGGAGGAGGAAGGTTGAAGAGGAGGAGGAGGAAGGGAAGGGAACAGGGAGGAGCAGGGGGAGGAAGGAGAGGGAGGGGGATGGGGGAGGAGGCGGAGGAGAACGGGGAGGAGGAGGACGAGGAGTAGGAGGAGGAGGATGGGGGAGGACGGAGGGAGGAGGGAGAGGAGGACAAGGGGGAGGAAGGAGAGGAGGAGGAAAAGGGGGGGAGGGAGGAGGAGGTGGAGGAAGAAGTGGAGGAGGTCGAGGATGGGGGGGTAGAAGGAAGAAGGGGAGCACTGTTCGGATCGTGATGCAGAGCAAAAAACAAATAATGAGGAACACGATCCGGTGATCATGATGCTGTGGTGATGATGGCGATGGCGACGAAAAGAAGGCGATGCGGAAAGCAACGGCGGCCTGTCATGGCGGGGGCAACAGCGGTTGCAATAATGCTGATGCCGACGCAGCAAAGGATTATTAATCATTATGCGGCAGTGGCGATGAGGAAGAAGCAGGGGAGGAGGAAGGGGGAGGAGGAGGGGGGAGAGCGACGAGAGGTGGATGATTATTGTGATGATGATGGCGACGATAGCGATGAGTGGGGAGGGTGATGGCGATGGCGATGGCGATGGGTGCGATGACGATGGCGGTGACCAGGGGGAGGGGGAGGAGGAGGCGAGGAGGAGTCGGAGGAGTGGGAGGAGGAGGAGGCTGAGGAGGAGGGCGGTTGTGGGCGAGGAGCCCATGAATGTCGGAGTCTCTGCGAAGGTCGCGGCGGAGGGCGAGGGCTCCATGGATGGGCCAGGGCCCCATGGTCCAGGACGACCTGATGGGTTGCTTGGTATGTGGCGATGCCTGCTGTGGCGAGGGCCCTATGGACGGACGTGCCGTATGCTCGTGGGCTTGCCGCCCACATAGCCCCCCCCTGGCGTCGTCGACCCCCCCCCCTTCGCAAATATTATAGCCCCCAACGAGATGCACCCCCTTTCCGCCGCCGCCGCTGCACCCCTTACGCCCGCTGCTGCTGCTGCTGGTTGCATCTAGTGGCTCAAGCTGCTGGCCTGACGCACGCCAGGCGCTAACATACTGGGCGCTACAACTAGGCGCTAAACGATGTGCTGGGCGGGCTGCTGCCGCTGGAACTGCTGGTGGGGGGCTAATAAGGCGAAGCGCATCAGCAACGACGAGGCTACTGCCATCGCTTGGCAGTTCGCTGAAAGCCGCTGGGGCTGTGAGGATTCCTGGGTGGATGGCGCTTGGGTGGATTTCTGGGGCTACCACTCCAAGGCTACTGAGGCCGCCTACCAGTCCGGAGCTAAGTGGTTTCAGTTTCAGACCGACTACTACTTCGACCGCGACGTCACCGTGGTTTTCGGCACAGGGGGCTACGACGGCGACGAGCATTACCAGTACTCTAGTAATGGGACCTACCGGCGCGTGCGCAGGGTGAAGATCCTCATGCAGTGAGTGAGGAGCGGGGCTACTAGGTACGTAGTAAGTCGCCAGCAGCAGCGCGGGGCTAGGATATGATGAGGAGGCGGGGCTAGATGAGGGCGCAGTGCAGCAGCCCAGACAGAGCCCATGACAGACCTGGTTAGATGTCGAGAAGAAAAAAGAAGAGCGGAAGATATGGGAAGGAGGGAGAAGAAGGGGGTGTCGGGATGATGGTGGCGGTGACGATGATGATGACGACGAAGACGACGATGGCGAGGGGGGCGATGGGACTGTGTGAGGGAGAGAGCGAGTGTGGGCACCCATGGGCGAGGTGGAGGAGGAGGAGGGCCTAGGAGGGCGAGGGCGACTCTAGGGCGAGGAGGGCCTAGGAGGGCCCATGGGCGAGGTGGAGGAGGGCCTGGAGGAGGGCCTAGGAGGGCAGTACCACCTCTGGCGAGGACGACGCGCGAGGATTTTATTATCAGTTATGAACCTTAATTCCTGGGTGCCAGATGCTGGTGGGCTAGGTGCCAGATAGCGCGGTTAGACAATTCTCTCTCTCTCTCTCACGTCTCAGGGCCCGCGTCGGGCGCCGACCAGGCGGACTCCACCCCGACCGCGGAGATCGCCCAGGTCCACGATCCTGCGGGCCCAGGGGCCCGCGCCAGGCTGACCGATGGCCTCTGAGGCCTCCGCCGAACAAAGCCGCATCGCCCTCGTGGCCCGCGCCCCGGGACGCGGCGCACTGCGCGTCCAGCACCGTCTGGAAGCCCGTGAACGCCAGGCGCGCACCTTCCGTCCAGTCGATGACCTTGTGGTTCTCCAGGAAATGGCTCAGCGCGCGGTCTGCCATGGATTTGATGTCGATCCCGTTCTCGATCGGCACGCCCCGGCTGGCGGTGCGAATTTCAGGCGCAGGTTCGCCGCCAACCACGCGGAACCGAAGCCTGTTGGGCGGGGCCGGGGATTCCGCCAAGCAGAGAAATCGGGAGAGAGCGCAGCAACGACCTCCCTTACGTTGTTCCCATACCCTCAGACTAGACGGGGCCCAGAAGCCAGCCACGTGCTTCCACGCATCCGCGGATCTGCTGATTTTGCTCGACCACATTACCTGTGGACACCCCAGCCTCCGGAGGCAAGCCAATTCTAGTGATCGGGAAACGATCCTTCCACACTTGCCCAGAACATCTGTAAAAGCAAAACGCAAATTCTACACTTGAGGACAACATCTGTGGAAGGGCAAAACGCCAGCTGCTTTGACACATCACAAGAAGATCTGTAGAAGCAAAAGCAAACTCTACACTTGAATGCAACAACTGTAGAAAGGCAAAACGCCAACTGCTTCTACACAGTTAACATCTGTAGAAGCAAAGCAAGTTCTACATTCCAAGACAACATCGATGGAAGGGCAAGTCTCCGAAGACCGTAGATCTACACATCCGGGCATCTGTGGAATCCATTGGCTCCCCGATGCTCAGTTTCTACACAGAGGCGACCCGAGGCCCTGCTGCCAACCTAAGACCTCCCTGGCCCCTCCCCCCTCCCCCCGACGGATGTGACATTTCACGAGTTTCCCTTCCCGTGCCTGGTCGATGTTCCGTCGGTGAGGGTGATCGCGTACCCACGGCGATTGCATGAACTCGCCGGGGTCATCCTCCTCCTGCTCCGGTGCCTACGGGTGTCCCGGGTGTCCTGGGTGCCCCGGGTGTCCAGGGTGGCCCGGCTGCTCTGGGTGCTCCTGGTGTCCCGAGTGTCCCGGGTGTCCCGGGTGTCCCGGGTGTCCCGGGTGCCCGGGGGGGGTCCCGGGTGTCCCGGGTGTCCCGGGTGTCCCGGGTGTGCCCCGGGTGCCCCGGGTGCCCCGGGTGTCCCGGGGGCCCCGGGTCCCGGGTGTCCCCGGTGCCGGGTGCCCCGGGCGTCCCGGGTGTCCCGGGTGTCCCGGGTGAAGCCGGAGAGGAGTCTCGCCTCCTCACGTCGCATGACTTGCATCACGCGTATCCGACCACGTAAATTGAACAGCACAGCTTACACCACATAGCTTGCAAACCGCACGGCTTGCAACACATAGTTTGCACCACGCAGATTGCACCACCTAGATTGCGACACATAGCTTCCTCCGCATAACTTGCACCACATGGCTCGCACCACACGATTGCAACACATAGTTTACGCATCCGCGGTGCAATACCGTGAGTGCTGCTTGGGGTCCACGCTGGCTGATACCCCTGAACCAAAGAAGCCCTGATTCCACCGAATTCACGGCACGTGCCCCGACTGGCTAGAAGCTCTAGCGACGGACCCGTCCCGGCCTATGCCCCTGCGACCTGGATATCGAAGCGGCCCCATGGGCACGCAGCCACATGGATGCGCGATCCCATGGGTACGTGCCGCGCAGGGCAGCCGCGCAGAGTGGCCGCGCAGAGCAGCCCTGTATCCGTGACATTGGCTACCTACCAGACCACCCCAACCTGACCAGAGGATCCAAACCTCAGGTGGGGGGGGGTACGGGTTCCACATGTGCTTTTTCTCCCCGACGCCCCCCCCCCCAACTGGGGATGGAGGGCAAAGTGGGGCCTTCGGGTTGGGTTGGGGCGGTTTGGTGGGTGGTGACACATCTGCTTCCTGCCCCGAGAGGGTGGACCAGGCCTGGCGACTTGCAGTCGGCCTGTCGCACCCTGCAGACACCCCCATTGATAAGCAATAGGAGTACCCCTAATCCTTTGGGAGGGGACCGAACTTACAGTCGGCCTTGATTGGACAGGACACGCGAGAGGACACACGACCCTTCCGAGGGCCACATCGCCATGGAAATGTAAGAAGGCACGTGTCGCGAGGCACAGGACACAAGGGTACCCTTGAGCTGGCAGGGTCGACCTGCTAATCCGGGCCGACTGTATGACGGCCAAAACATTAGGGATGTGGGGACTTTCTTGCAGCCGTGTCAAACGAAACCACCCACACACTTAATTAGGGAGAACCCTAAAAACCCAGGACCTAACTCAGGCCACGAAGTCGGTGTGTTATTACGGCTTGGGGTTGTATTATGCTTAGTGACCCCTGTGCCGAGTTCTCAGCGCGGAGGACACTGCCCCATCTTAGGTTGGAAAGGGTGGCCCAAGCCGCGCTTTCGCTGCCATGGATGTGAACACACGGCGACACAAGCATCAAATGTTGGAAGGTACCCGCGGGCTTTTTGAGCTGGTCTTGCGGCGACGGCGGGGGAGGGGAGGTCCTGGCGCCGACCCGAGAAATCCGCGCAGTCCTCCGAACGCTCCTCTTCTAGAGCCGGTTTTGCACTATTCGCGATAACGCCCGTGACCAGCCCCGCCGTCCCCCCCTGCCCCCCGCGGAACGTCACGAGTCGCGCTGGCGCCGTCTGAAAAAAAACTGTAAGCATTCCCAGACGGCGCCGGCGCGAACCGTGACTTCGCTACCGGCCCCCATCCGTCCCTCCCCCGCCCTGGCAACGCCCGTTATCGCCACGGGGTAAAAAATGCCCCCTCCCCCTACTGGACCACAGCGAAACGCGCGGGCGCAAGCGGAGGAAGGCGGGCCTGCGAGCGGCTGGGCTGCTGCACTGCGAGTGCGCGTACCTGGAGGGGACGGGGCGAGACAGCTGGCCGCTCGGCGCCCTGCAGGGACAACAGACACCATGAGTTGGGCGTCCCAAAGCGGTGCGGTGGCAGACCGTGCGGCGACCCGGCCTCGCCGCACAGCCTCTCGCACAGAGCTTGACTGGGACCCTACCCTGAGATCCGGCCAGCGTTGTGAGGAATTTGCAGTATCACAAAACAATCACGACTGGAGCCCGAGACCCGATCGTTTTGCTTCGGCTACAGTGGAAGCCTATATAAAGGACGGGCAGCAAGGACGCACTGGCCTTGGACGCCAAACTTGGCACTGTTTGGGCGGCGAGCTGCCAACACCCTGAGAAGCTGGCCAGAGAAAACCGTGAAAGAGGAGCCGCACAGGCAAAGGACGCAACGGCACCTTCAGGACACCGCGCACCCTTGCTATGAGCTTGACTCTTGGTGCGCGGCGAAACGGAGCGGGGTGGCCCAACCTGGGCGCGCAGGCCGCTGCCGCCGCTTCGCGTTCGGCCATCGGGGGGCCCCACTTGGAGAGGGAATGTGGGGGTCGGGCGCGGGGCCCGGCAACGGTGGGTCTATGGGCCACGCATGGGTGATACATCCTCGATTGTTGTGCTCGGCGCGGGGACCACCTCCGTCTCCCCGCCTGCACCCTTGCGCGAGACTTGAGGGTAAACGAGGCAAGGAGACGGAGAGCTGGGGAGAGGCGACGAAGGCAACGTGCGCTGAGGGCGCCAGACAAAGGGTGAATCATCGAAGTCGAGGAGATGAGTGTCAAGACCTGCCCAACCAATCTGATACGCGGACCACTGCGTTTCAGCTTTAGGGGTCTTGAAAGCAAGGACAACATGTGAATTCACATGTTGGGGAAAGGCACATGTGAATTAACATTTTGGAGAAAAAACATATGCAAATTCGCAATTTGGTAAAAAAAAAAAAAGAGCATGTGAATGTACATGTTGGAAATCGGAATCGGATTCTTTATGACGGGGCCAGAATGTGACTTCACATCTTGGGGAAAAGAAACATGTGAAGTCACATGCTGGGAAGAGGGAAAATCTGAATTCACATTTTGGGGGAATGGCGGGACCCGTTCCTGATCTGTCCTAGAGGTCGACAAGACATCGTTTGGGAGCATACGCGATCATCAATCGGACATTCAAATCACACTCGCGCTCCACTTCGCCACCCCACGCGCGATATGCAAGAACGTCCGCGCGCATGAACGATAATGGATGGACGGCGCGTTTGCCCGCACGGGCAACGCGCGGGCACGAACGCCTCGCCCTCATATGATGGCCAACATTGGATGCCAGTCGTACCCGGTTATATACTCTAGCGACAGATATGGAGCATACATGGGCCTTTCAGCCCCAATTGCAGACACCCTGTTGCGGACTCCTTTTTTCACCCTCCGACCCATTGGGCCCACACCAGAGGTCACTCCGGCGAAAATTCACTCTTACCCATCGGTCGGAAGAAGTAGGTAGAAACATTAAATAGGAAGGCGTTGAAAATAGATTGGGCGTCCGCCCGCCCCCTAAAGAGGACGGAAAAGGGGAAGCCACTCGATCGTTGAAGTAGGAAGGCGCTTAAAAGTAGACTGGAGTCTGGGACTCCCAAAAATACCTGCAACGACCAGTGGGTACGTCTCGTCACCTGCCGCACTGCTCCAGCCCGCTCCGGTGTGGTCACCGCGCCGTCGATGGGGCCCCTGGCGGGAAACCACCGGGCCGCCGAGCCTCGCACGCTCGCCGCGCCCCCCGGGGAGTGCGCGCGAGGGGGGCGCGGCGGGCGCCGCGCCCCTCGCGGGGGCCGCCCCGCGGGAGGGTGCGTCTCTGCGGCGGTCGGGAACTCTTGCGCAGCGCGTCGCAGCGGCGGCCCCCCGGCGGCACGCCGTGCCGTGCGAGCGGGCGGCGTGCCGCTCTGCTCCGCAGGGCGGGGGGCTCAGGAAGGCTCGAGACGTTGACGCTTGGGGACCGGGAGGTGGATCGCGTGACGCTCCGGCCGGCGGAGCGACACGATTCAGCCAATGTTCCTAACCGTATCGTCGCAACCCTTTGGCTGAGCTGGGTGCAAGCACAAGACGTTCTTAGAGGGGCGCCAAGTGCCCCACCCCCTCGAAAAATAAACATATTTCGCAACCGTCGGCAACCGGCGCCGTTTCGCAGAGACTTGCGTGCCCCTGGCGGCACGGCCATGTGCCCAGCGAACTGGCTCCAACCACGGGTTCCACTTCTCTGATCGCGCATAGCGCGATGGGGTCTGTTTGGGGTCTCTAAGTTTGCCGGTGAAGGATGCGAAGAATGGCAATGGGCATTAAGGGATGGGTGGAATGGGCGGTACGTCAGATATGGCGCGGGCACACCTAGCTTGCTTCTTCCCCCTCTCCGTCCCTCCCCCTTCCCATCCCTGCCCCTCCCCCTCCCCATTCATCCACTCCTGTCCATTCGACGGCGACAGGGCGCACTCGACTGGCCGCGAGTTGGTGTCGATGCATGCGTTCAGGCCGCAGAGCGTTGGCGCCTGCTTGTGGTCTGCCTGGATTTCCTTGGTGGGAAAGAGCAGCGAAAATCTCAGACAACAAAAAATTGCGGGAGATCACAACAACGGCATGGATCAGCGGCAATGATCCACCACCGTGCCTCCTGGCACGTTGAGGTGTGGTAAAATTCCAAGTGCTCTTAGGCAGAGTGCCTGTGAGTCTTCCAAGGGCCCCCCTTCCTCTCCCAGCGCCTCGTCGAGCAGGCCACCCACCACTCCCGATGCTCCCTGGGCGTTTCGGCTCCTCCCTGGGGATCTCCAAGGCTTCCAGGATGCCCAAGATGGCTTTGAAGAGGGTCTAGGCAGCCCACCAAGGCCGCTGAGATGGCCCCAAATGCCTCCTAGACGGCCCAAGATGTCTCCAGGACGACCGAAAGAGGTGTTAAGACAGCACAAGAGGCCCGCGATGTGGCACAAGAGGGCTCCAAGAAAGCCTCCAGGAGGGCCCCAGAAAGATCAAACAATTGTTCCTTGAATGGATTACTGATTCAGGCGCTCTCTCACCTGTCCAAGCTTCCGTCAGCCCAAACGGCTTCAGAGGCCTCCAAGCCAGCCCCAAAACGGCCCAAGAGGGCCCCAACACGCCCTACTCAAACACCCCAAGGCCAGAGAGCCTCAAACCGATCCGGGTCCGACCTGGAGAGGACACCAACACCCAATGCGGACTCCGAAGGCCTCATCCCTCCTGCTCGTGGGGGAGCAGAACGATACTGGCACAACCACTCCGTGGACCTCCATGGGCGCGTTCTGACCAGGACTTCGGCGAATCCAGCCGTGGCGCAGAGTCGAGGATTGCGGTGTATCGCAGCCGGTTTCTGCCCTGAGCTCTTCTCCTCCTGCCTTCGCCTCCCCCCGACGTCCCTCCCTCTCTTGCCGTGGCACGCGGCCCACGCTCCTCGGAGATGAATTGGACCCCCCCTTGCCCTGCGCATACCTCGCGGCGCGAGGGGCGCGCGCGCGCGCGACGGCCAGAGCGAGATTTCGCGCAGCACGGCGCGACGCTGCTGGTGCTGGGGCCGCCAGGCCGTGCGGGGCGCCCCGTGTCTGGCAGCTGCCTTCCACCTGCCGCGTGTTGCCCAAGTGTCCCTGGCCCGAGATGCCCCCCGCTGTTCGTTCCATCTCGGAGCCCCTGGGGCACTCTGGGCCCCGTGGGGGTCCTCTGAAGGCCATCTGGACCTTCTGGGGGCGTCCTGGGGGCAGCCCCCGACCCCCAGGATGACGGGGGGGGGGAAAGAGAGCAGGACGATGTCGAAAACCGACAGCGGCCAGTGTTGGCCAGGCGACGTTTGTCCAAAGTGGGGAACGTCCGCGGCGACACCGACAGCGAGCCCTGCGCCAAATGAACAAAAGCTGATGTTGGTGCTCGTATCCACGCTTTCCGTCCCCACATCGATCAAATCGAAAGAAACGGAAGACGACACGGGGGCGCTGACACGCGTCAGCCAGGGCCGCGTCGTGAACCTAGACCAGCCGCAAAGAAGCTCGCAAGCCCGGGCAGGCAAAGAATTGGGAAGGGGCACCGGCCCCACGTGGCCTCCAAACCCAGGTCAGTCTGAGGGCTTAGCTGATCCCACTTAGCGATCCCGCATACGTCAACTCCACACGACCACTACCCTGAGATCCGACGTCACAAACAAAAAGACATCTTCGACAACAGCGGCCAAAACCCTGGAGCACATCTCTCCCTGCGGCACCTCCAACAAACCCGGGTCGATCTGCGAGGACCAGGGCCCGACCCACCGGGCAAACACGCCTGGTGCTAACAACTACCAACGCCCAGATCTCAGACGACGACGAAGACGACGACGACGACGACAACGACGAGGGGCACCTAGATATGGGTGTCTACTCCAGATTTCGTAATAAATGGGAGGGGGTCTGGACCCTCCAAGACAAGCCATTTCAGACCCCCCCCCGTGGGAGAACCCTCCAAAACATCGTCCCCAGACCCCCCAGGCCCTCCAAGATAGCCTGGAAGAGACCCCCCCCGAAATGAGACCCCCCTCCCTTTATTACGAAATCTGGAGCATGGGTGTCTACCTCAGGGGAGGAGCATCGAGCTGGAATCGGCGATACATCGCCGACAGGTCGACAATAGGCCCCCGAATAGCGACTCCGCACGGTCCTGGGGGGGGGGGGGCTGTCGGGACCCCTGTCGGCGATCCGTGGGCGAGCAGGAGTCGATGCATCCCACTTGGGCATGTCCCCACTAGTGTTGCCCACGAGAGACGACGACGACGACGACGACGACGACGACGACGACGACGACGACGACGACGACGACGTCAATCGCGGGCAGAAAACAGATCCGTATCCTCCACGGCCTCGCGGGTGGCCCGCGACCCCAAGGAGATGGGCCGCTCTTGCGCGGACGCCCCGCGCGGGACGCCTGTGTGCGACTGCGCATCCACGGGATCGCGGCCTGGGCCCGTGAGATCCGACGCTACGGAAAAGCTGAAACACCACGAACCTCACGACCGGGGCCCTGGACCCCACCTCTCTGCGGCACTGGCGGCCCCGGGGCCTGATACAGTCGGGGAGTTGACCTAAGGAACGATACATAAGGAACGAGGCCCCTTTTTCCCATACAGTAAACTCCGATGTTCCATGGAAAACCTCAGGAAAACCCAAGGAGCACTGTACAGCAACTAAGGAACACGGAGCCCCGCCGCAACAAAAAGGGTTTCTTCTTCAGGGCCCCGACTGTAGACCAAGCGAGAACTCCCATTGTGAAACATCTGCAACGCCCGGATCGCGGGCAATTCTCGGACCACATTCCATACGGGGCCCCCACAACCCCGACACTTTCCCCAGGCCAGCTTTTCATCCCGAGTCGTTTTGCGGTCCCCGGGCTCGGCGAGGCCCGAGGAGACCGAAAACGGGTAAAATTGTTCGACTTGACGACGACGACGACGACGACGACGACGACAAAAACAAAGACAAAGACGACGACGACGACGGCGGCGGCGGCGGCGGCGACGACGAGAAACCACAACGACAACCTCGACCACGACGACCACGACGACCACGAGGACCACGACCAAGATGGCCACGACGACGACGACGACGACGACGATGACGGCATCCTCTCCCCGGCGCACAAATATCGCGAACAACAAAGAGGCCGAAAACATGTTGCGCAAACGTTTCACCACCATGAACAATCACGACCCGAGCCCTGGCCCACACCTTTCTCGCTGCATCCGTCGAGTCCGATCGCTCTGTCAGGGTCGTTGGGGGCCCGAGGCCGGGCGTAAACGCCCAGGAATCCAGACCGCGAGGGCGTGGACGCAAGTACGCTCGCCGCTCGTGAGTCCGCTCCCCGTCGCTCAATTGGCGAGTGGGGGTCGATGCACTCCCTCGGACCCTAAGTGAAGGTTTGCTGTACAAAGAAAATCAGCGTTTCGACATTGGGCGGAAAGGGGGGGAGAGGGGGGGGGTCTGGCTCCGGACCTCTGCTTCGTGCGACTGTTTGGGACCGTGCGTCCCATAGGGGAAAGACTCCACCTGCTTGAAACAGGCGCCAAAAACAGGGCGCGCCGCAGGATGGCTCCAGGTGGGGGGGGGGCCCCACCCCCCGTTCCCCCGATCCGTCGTAGGGACCCCCACCCTCTCAACCCCTTTCCCGGTCCGTCGTCGGGGGACCCCCCCCCTCCCACCCTTTCCCGGTCCGTCGTCGGGGAACCCTCCCCCCGTTTCCAAGGGGGGGGTCCGACCCCACGTTTCCCCCCCTTTGGCCGCCAAATTCGAGCACCCCCCCCTTTCACACTTTTCGCAACGGCGCCCCCTGGTTCGGGAATCCGACCCCTACCACCCCTAACGCTACCACCCCGACCACCCGTAACCCTAACCCAAAACCCTAACCCTAGCCCCAAGCAGCACTCATAACTCATTATTCACTACCCAGTACCCACTGGTCACTACTCGCTACTCACTACTCAATTCCCACTACTCACTGCTCACTACTCACGACTTGCTACTCACGACTCACTAGTCACTACTCACTAGTCTCTTTTCGCTACTCCAGAAGCACTACCCACTACTCACCACTCATTCCCCATTTCTCACTCCTCACAAATCACTACTCCCCACTTTCTACTCACTAATCACTACTCAGTACTCACTATTCGCTACTCCCTACTCGCGACTCCCTACTCCCTACTCACTGTTCTCTACTGACTACTCCCTCCTCACGACTCACGACTCACATTGCCCTACTCGCCGCTCACAATTCGCGACTCGCCACTCACGACTTGCTACTCACTACTCACTACCCACTCCGCACTACCCACTACCCACTACCCACTACTCACTACTCGCTACCCCCTACTCGCTGTTCCTTACTCACTACTGACTATTCCTTCCTCATGACTCACTACTCACAATGCCCTAGTCGGTCCTCACTACGCATTCACTACTCGCTACTCCCTACTCGCTAGTCACTACTCACTCCCCACCGCCCCCCGACCCACTCCTCACTACTTACCACTCACTGCGCACTACTCCCTACTCACTACTTGCTACCATGTACTTACTGCTCACTATTCACTACTCACTACGCAATAGTCTCTACTCACGACTTACTATTCACGATCCCGAGGCCAGACTCCCCCCCCCCTTGCGGGAGAGGCCCCCTCCTCGGCCCCCTGTTCGGCGCAAAGGGGGAGAGGGGGCGGGGGGTCGACCCCCCCCCCTCCAGCGCCAAGGGGGGGAGGGGCCCGGGGTCTGGCTCCCTCTCCCCTTCAAGGGGGGGGGGGGTCGGACCCTCCCCTGAAGGGGGGGGGGGGGGGGGGGCGCGAAAATCTCACCCCCCTTTGAAGGGGGAAAAGGGGGGGGGGTTCTGCGAGCACCCCCCCTTTTCAATTACAGGGTCATCCGCTGGCACCCTTCCCGAAAACAGGCAAGATCTACTCCATGGAGGGGGGCGGGGTGCGAGGGCCCGCGCCGATCGGCAAAACAATGCACCAAAAAACTATCAATAATCCCACCAGCCCTCTGGGCGTCGGTGGTTTAAGGCGTTTGCTCTTCCACCCGTCCCTCTTCCCCTTCGGGGAGGGGTTTACCCCTCCCCCTACCCCCTGCCCGTGGACCTGGACGGGGAGGGCCGCGGGTAGTTAGAGCGTCCAAAACGGCCTCGGCGAGGAAGCCAAAATCATTGATTTTACTACGATGTTGGCCCCATGTTGGCCTCCTGGGGGGGCGAAGTTAAGGAACACCCCTTCGTTGACCGATCTCCTCCAAGATGGCCCCAAGAAACGCCCAGGAGGCCCCAAGAGGTCCCGAAATGGCCCCAAGATGGCCCCAAGAGGCGTCCAAGAGGCCTCCAGGAGGCCCCCAAGAAGACCCTACGCGGCCCCAAGAGGCCCCCCCGAGGCACCTCAGACCCCGAAGAGCCCCCCAGGCTCGCCAAGAGACCCCCAAGACGTCCCAAGAGGCCACCAAGAATCGCCCAAGAGATACCCCAAGAGGCTCCGAGAGGCATCCGAGAGACCTCTGGCCCTTGTGCTTGCCCTCCTCCTTCTCCTCCTGTTCCTCCTTCCTGCTCCTACTCCTTCTCTTCCTCCTCCTCCTCCTCCTCCGTTTCCTCCTCCTCCTGTTCATCCTCCTTCTCCCCATTTCCTCATCCATCCATCCATCCACCTCCTCCTTCTCCTCCTCACTCCTTTGCACGGTTCGGCCGTCCTCCTCTTTGTTGCCGCACTTCCCTGATCACCTCAACTCGCCTAGACATCGTTTCTGGATGGGCTGGTGGGGATATTTTTTTGTCGCAAGCGCGGGCGAAAGCGCCAGCGGCGAGTCAGGTCCGAGCGGGCCGCGCAAGAGCCGAATTACCTAACGCCGACGGGCCGGTCAGGCAGCGCCTCGGCGGGCGGGCCGGCGCGAGGGGGTGCAGGCTGCAGCTGCCAGGGATCTGGTCCAGGGGAGCGCACAT